TATATATATATATATATATATATGTATATATATGTGATAAGATCTGGGAAAAACCGTCGGATGTCGTGCTGGAACGTTTTCAGGAAATTCGAAAAATAGGCCGATTTTCAATTTTTTGTCAAAATTAGGGTTTCATTCAATTATTATTCTATAACATCTAGTCTATTATCTCTGAAAATATCTTGGCAAAATTAACTTGTTTAGTTCTGAAAAATAGCGATTTATTGCAGCAAGCAGAAAAGACTGTGTCTTTCTCTCATGTTAAGAACACGCTGCGGAGGTGCTTTCTCTTAACACCACAAAAGCAGTTAACCTATCAAAATAAACCACGTAACATATATAATAAAGGTGCATCAATGCACACTTCCCGCCAGTCCTGTGTAAACTACGGCACGCAAAGTTTTTTTAAATTTATTATTATTTTTTTTATCTTGAGATAGCGGAGCACAAGAAAACGACGTAGTCTGAAGCTGCTAACTAGACGATCTTGCTCGTCTCAGTCTGCTCAATCTTAGTGATGTCAGTGCCCTAAACAATGTATAATGGACTATTTCACATCCAGAGATGAAGGATCGGATGATGAAGTTACTAAAGAGGATATCAAGTTCAAAGTTCAAAGTTCTTAGTCTGAAAAACCCATTAACACTCTCTTTTTTTACTGTGTTTACTGTAGAGAAACCAGCACCCAAGAAACGACGGAAAGTGTTCTGCCAGATCCCCCATCACCTGCTGGAGAACCATGAGATGTGGAAGAAGGTCATTGCAGAAGAGTCCCAAAGCCAGACAGAAGGGGAGGAGTCCACATGCCTCACTAACACCCCTGAGCCAATCCTAGCCATCGATGAGGAGGAGGAGGAGCCGGGGAGCAAGGAGGAGCCTGCGGACGACCAGGAGGAGGAGAGTCCTGTACCTGACAAGACACATGAAACAGAGGAAACAGATGGCGAGACTGTAGAGGAAGCGGCCGAGACTGCGAAGCGAGACACGGTGACGGTAGAAGACGATGCGGAGCTAATGGGAAAACGAGAGGAAGACGAGAAAGAGGATCCGGAATGAATGACTTGCCCTTTTTAGACATTGTCTAAAAGCTTTTTATCAGCAAGCGAGACTTCTAAGAAATGGTTGCCAGCACATCACTTAGACACAACACTGTAGATGCTTGGGGAACATGTGCCTAAAGGAAACAGGGTGGGGTGGGGTGGTTCGGGATGAAGGGTTTGAGTAACAATGAGCAGGTGGTGAACTATTGAGGTTTGATGCTAAAATAGAGTTCTCCAGGGGGTTTCCTATATTTTCTAGACTTACATTGGTCAGTTTTGCAAATTCTTCTGGCGAAACCCTCTCCAGCTGCACCTTAACCCCCAAAACTATGACAGGGGTCCCAATGATCTGCGGCGACACGTTTTGCAGGCTCAACAAGCATTTCCAAGGAGCTTAGCGTCAAAGTCAGGAATGAGAAACCAATCCACCGTGACTCTCGCCGGTTCGCGTATCCCATCATCGGCAGCGGACGAAAGCAAACGCTCCAGAAACTGCATGCGTTTGTGAAAATGCTACAAAAAGATACACTATGTGTTTGCGTGTCTGTCCTGCCATTGCTCTTTGTTTTTCCTTTCCAGAGCATCACTATAGCAGACGCTTGCGCCACTGTCTCATTTCTGAAGGCGTCGAGCCGAATGCTTGTCATTCTCTTCCCTCACCTTTTTCCCTCGGCATTCCATGAACTGAGATTTTACGTTTCTCAGGATCAGACTGTTTTCTGACAACTGTCATTGGTTTTTACAGACTTTCTTGCAACTTTATAATCTTTTGGATCTTGATTTGTGGACAAAGGGTATCTTTAGTTGTTTTTTTAAACTGTAACTTCTTCAAAACGCCAATGGCCTTTTAGCCCAATCGTTGTTTTACCAGGTGATTTGATATATATACACATGCATACGGCGTGCAATATTACATCACGTCATCCCTAGTCATCAGTGCACCGTCCAAAGCTACAGACGCTCTTATTCTCCCCCCTTCTGTTCTTGCATTTAATTGAGTTTTGAGAGCCAAGTAAACTGCTCTAGCAAGTTTGGCTGATCAAAGGTATAAACTGGGATGACGGGAAGGCCTCAGGCTCCTGCAGTCGAATGTTTTCCCTCCGAACAAGGCTGTGGTTATGCTTCACAGTCGTCTCACGCAGGCCGCCGCTGTGGTCATGCAGGCAGGCTTGTGAGCGACTGCGAGCTCCTCAGCCCAAGGGATGAAACGACGAACGCCGTCCCTCTCACATGAGACCATGTGCCGCACATGAGATACGCACACCGGTCGACACGCTCGCCTTTGATGTGCCGAAAAAGGCAGATTGCTCTCAACGGCGAGATGAAACACTTCTGCAGGCTTCATCGCCTCGGGTCCGATGTCTAATCGGACGCCTTCAGTCACTTTGAAGGAGAGCCAATTAAAAACACCTAGGTAGGACACGGCGGTCATGTGCTCATCTTTGAAACGTCCCCTTCAATCGCAATGCAGTGTAAGCCTTAATATTATCAGGCAATGTGGTGCAATGAAGTCCGGCGAATTATTTAAGCAATACCGACCCAATGTGTACAGTAGATTGGTAGCATTTCCAGTTGCACTTTCTTTTGGTTGCTGTGTAAATCTCACACAGCTCAAGTGTGCGTGTGCCAAATATGACTTCAAATCCATTCTCCCCAAAGTATGAAACACCATCAGGAGCATGTAAAGGCCGTGTGTGCTTGTGAGTACATGTGGCGATGCAGTATGAGTGCTTTTTATTTGTACATGGGCCCAATTTTAGAGGGTATATTATATTTCTGCATTAGGCCGTAGATTTGTAACCCCAGGCCAGAGATATTAACCCTTTGGTGCATGAGTTATTAAATCACAAATTAAAATATTCTTAATGTTTTTAATACCTTTTTTAAATCAAAAATATATTAATTCCCAGTCTAATAACGCATTTTGAGAGTGTTACAGTCCACTGCAATAAGAGATAGTTGTTATGTGGTGCATCACTTTTGTTTGCCATTTTGAATTTAGGTTGCCATAAAGCAGAAACGTTAAAAAGGATTGTCACAATGAATTATGGATAAGGGTTAAAAGTCAACACCTTAAAAATGACTGTCTAGTGTAGTGGACATCTTGCATCAAATTATACAGGTGTCTTCGCTGTGTATTTCCCAAAATAAAATGAACTTATCGTAATACTAAAATCCCCGTAAATAAACCATCATACCCCAAGCCAGAGATATTAACCCTTTGGTGCATGAATTATTAAATCACAAATAAAACTATAATGTTTTTATTACTTTTTAAAAACAAAAATATATGAATTCCTAGTCTTTTTTTTTTTTTAATAATGCATTTGAGAGTGTTACGTTTGTTATGTGGTGCGTCGTTTTTGTTTGCCATTTTGAATTTATGTTGCCATAATAAAACATAAAAAAAGGATTGTCACAATGAATTATGGATAAGGATGTTATCGCCTTAAAAATTGCTTTTAAAGATCTGTCCACTGTAGTGGACATCATGCATCAAAGTGTTAAATTAGTTGTTTTCGCTGTATATTTCCCAAAATAATATCATAACCTACAATCAAATCCTGAGGAATAAAATACATTATTTCCCAATTTCACTAAGAAATATGTGACATTATGGAAGAATCTATTATGCAATATAGCTCCGCCCCTTTCATCTTACTTTTGTGAGCAGAGTTACTTTTCTCCGTTTGAGAAATTTATGTCATTACCTTACTGCGAGTTTTTGACGATCAAAGGTCATTGATATTGATGTCTCAAAGTGTTTTAAACCCAGAATCATCAAAGATGCCCAGATTTGCTTCCACCCAGACAGTATTCAGAGAGACTCAACAAAAACTGTGGAATTAGCCAGCGAATCCTACACGTTTGATGCGCTCGCTCGCTCGTGCGTGCACTGCATGATTGCGCGTGTTGGCATGGCAGCATGCGCCCCTGTCCTCCACCGTGCCTCCCTTCAATGGGTTTTTAGCTCTGATCTGCGTTCGGTGGCTCTTATTCCAGATTCTCGAGTCAGAATGGGCAGCACAAATCTTCAGAAACTGTTTGAATGGGTTCATAATGGCATTTTCACTAAATTCATGTTTTGTTTTTTTTACACGTAGCAGATGCCCTTAGGAGTGAAATAAATTAGAGTCTGTACAGTTCGGCTAAAAAACCTGTGCAGGTATTCCAGAAATGCACGATAACTTGCTAGTTTGTGTGTAAAGTATAGTCTGATAAGCTTGGTTCATCATTCCAGATCTTTTTGATTGTCAGTATAGGCGGTTTGACTGGCATGTCAGGTTCACCGGATGTCGACACGAGACTTAAAGAGGTTACACGTCACATAAGAGGCTGATCCTTTTATATTTTTGCTTTGTATTTCCTGTTCAACGCTCATTCCTTCATCTTCAGCTGTACGCATCTCATAACCATGTCCACTCGTTTTGTTCACCTTGAGAACCAAACAAGCTTTACACCTCTCTGAGAAAGAGAAATGAGACTTGTACTTTTTTTTTATATAGTCGGCACTTCACTGACAAAATATTTTTCTTCTCACTTGTATCTTGCACTTAACACATGTAGCAATACCTATAGAAAGGGAAACTGTGTAAATCACCAGTATTCGTAAAGTGAAATATTCATTTTATCGCTGATTGTTGTTCCATTTTGTACAAAATGATATTGTGTACAGGTTAAAAATGAAACGAAACAAAAACAAAGCCAAAAAAGGGACAAAAAGATGAAGATGACAACAGAAGTCTTTTAGATAAACATTATTTATTTTTACTGTTTTGTAATTTAGACACTATACTGTAGCTCCTCTATTGCCAGACTTACTGGAAGTGCCTCTTGGTATAATGTAACATACAGAAAATATATATTGAGATTATTAGAACCTGTCACAAGCTGAACATTGTGGATGTTGTAATGTGAATACAGTTTAATAATACGAGTGAAATACCTGTGGTATTGAATGACTCTGTGTTCTTAATTGTTTCTTTCTTGCTTCAATGATTTTCACCCCTCATTCAAGACTAAATAATCTGAAGGTTTTCAACTAAACAAGCTCAATACAAAGGGTAAAATGTCAAATATTCTTACAATTGAGTAGGTGTTTTTGTCTTGAAAATGGCTCCTGTCTCAATCGAAGTCAAGGTAAGATCCCACACGCATTATGCCAGGTCAAAATGCTCTTATATTAAAGGAAGAGTTCACTCAAAAATGAAAATTTGCTGAAAATGTACTCCTCTTCAGGCCATCCAAGACAAGTTTGTTTCTTCATTAGAACAGATTTTGAGAAACGTAGCATTCCATCTCTTGCTCTCCAATGGATCCTCTGTAGTGAATGGGTGCCGTCAGAATGAGAGTCCAAACAGCTGATAAAATCATCACAATAATCCACAAGTAATCCACACTCCAGTCCATCACTTAATGTCTTGTGAAGTGAAAAGCTGCATGTTTGTAAGAAACAAATCCATCAACCTCAAACCGTCACTTCTTGCCAAAATACAAGTCCATAATCCATAATAACGCTTCCTCCAGTGAAAAACTCGATCCCCTGTTGTCTCTTGCATCACAATCCATCCACATATTTGTTTAGAACTGTTTTCATTTGTAAACAGTGCTTGATCTGTGCATATTTCTCTCCTGATTCAGATGAGATGACTTTCACTGCTGAAAGCAAAGCAATGTTATCAATAGAGGACTCGTGTTTTAGCTGGAAGAAATGGTTTGAAGTTTATGTGAAATTGAAGTGACGTGACATACCATACTCGGATTTCATGCTCTGTATTTAACACATCCAAGTTTCTCAAGGGTCTCACCTCAGTTGTGGTATTGAGGGTGGAAGAGAGCGCTGGTCATTCACTCCCCCTACAATCCCTGCCGGTAGCAAGACTCGAGACTCTCTAACCCAGGGTTTCTCAAATCTTGTCCTGGGGGTCCAATGCGCTGCAGAGTTAACTCCAACCCTGATCAAACTCACCTACCTGTGATTTTCTGATGATCCTGAAGACATTGATTAGCATGCTCAGGTGTGTTTGATTAGGGTTAGAGCTAAACTCTGCAGGAAAGTGGATCTCGTGGGCCAGATTTGAGGATCCCTGCTCTAACCATTCGACTCTCATTCTGACAGCACCCATTCACTGCAGAGGATCCATTGGTGAGCAAGTGATATAATGTTCAATTTCTCCAAATCTGTTCTGCAAAAAAAAAAAAAGCACATCTTCACCATACTCATTTAGATCACTTTAAGTTCAGTACTTAGCTTCAGTGTTGATCTTTGTTTAGGGTGCTTGCCAACTTGATGTTGAAGCATTTCAATGAAGAACAGAGTTCGACGAATTAGTTGGTGTTCAGCATGAACTATTATGGCTGTTTGGCACATTGTTTGCTTGTGTTCTCATAAAACGTAGAGAAAAAACCCTTATATAAATGGATTATGAACAGGGCTTGAGGGACGTGTTGCTTTGAACTCATTAGTAGCGGATTTGTCTAAAACTATAGACTTTTTTTTATGCTGACAGCCACAATGTTCTGAATCAACCCTCTAAACATCAGCTTTTCAGACATGCAGTGAGATTAGTCGTGTCCCTGGCATCCATGTGTTTCCTAAAGCTTGAGGTGTGTGTGATTCATACTTGCACAGCTCACTGTATTGTACAGAAGGAAAGGACATGGCAACCTTTAAATGCAGCTCACCCCATATGTCTTCAGGAATCAAGAGTTTTCACCTTGTCACTGCTTTATTCTCTGGAAACTTTACACAGTTTCCAATGTGATGTACAGAAAGGCTACTGTAATGTGGGTTGTGGTAATTGGATCCTTTCACTACTAAAGTTTGCAAAGCCAAGGGTTTGATTCCCAGGGGATGCAGAAACTGATAAATGTAGATCTTGAATGCAATAGAAGTCGTTTCGGATAAAAGCGCCTGTTAAAAGTCCCAAATGTGTATTTTCATTACACATTTCAATAAGCATAACAGTTAGCACATATCTATTAACCAAGTAGGTAAAAAACCTTGCCTTACATAGATTAAAAACAGTACATGTAAAATAAGGATTTATAATTTGAGTTGTCAGGTCGAAAATTGCGGAAATACCTATTTTTTCCCACCATTTGTCTTTGCGTGGTTAGGTCACGTTCGTAAACAAAAAGAAGGTCATTTGTATTTGAACTTGATTTTGGTGAAATGTTAATAATATAATGACACATGCCAGTATATATTCATCTTTGTTATATATTGTTAATGAAAATACAGTCGTTCATTTGTAGTTCATGTTAGTTCACAGTGCATTAACTAATATTGACAAACACAACTTTTGATTTTAATAATGCATTAGTAAATGTTGAAATTAACATTAATAAAAGCTGCAGAAGTATTGTTCTTTCTTAGTTCATGTTAACTACACTAGTTAAATAATGTTAACTAATGAACCTTATTGTGAAATGTTACCATTTATATAAATGTATCTGTATACAATAAAGCCACAATACCAACTACCAATAGGAGGTTTCCGGCTGACAGCAAAGATTTATTGAAATATGTATGTCACATAATATGAGGAAAATCCGGCCCTGTACATGATGCTGGTCTTTGTTGCCAAATTGGTTTGGAACAGTTGTTGAATAAACAATTAAACTGAACTATTATGCCTGTCTACTGACAGTTTTATTGATCACTAAGAGAGCATTGACGTATGATGTTAGTTCAATATAAAAATGACATGTTTAATAACTACCTTAGATGTAGTAAACTACGTTTGCCATGTTGCTGTTGCTTAGCTTGCTACATTTCACAGGGCTATCTATAGCTTTAGTGTAGTGAAGCTTCATTTAATGAAGAGTAACTGTTAGCTTAGCTCACTACATTTTCCAAGTAGCTTGCCCAACACTGTATCTTTGCAATATATATTCTTTATTTTATAACTTTTCTTTGTTTTAAACTTTCCAAAAAGTTACCTTAGGTAACTTTTCTGCACTGATTGTGAGTTGAAATCCAGAATAAGAAGATGAAAAAGCATCTCGCTCACATGGCATGAGGCCAGTGCAGAGGTCTGGATTGTGTGTCATTCCTTTAACTTCTCCTGATCCAGTTTTAAGCTGTTCTCATCCTCTGATCCTAACCTGAGTGTCTGGAAGGTTAATTGCAGTGGGAACTGAGCTGACTGTGTGCTGGTCAGGAGCGTCGCTCACATCCTCTGACCCATAGGTGTGTAAGGCTTAGCCTTCCCCTGGCCACGGGGAGTCAGGGACTCGGGGCAAAAATGCCCCTGCACAGACAAATTAAATCTATTACGTCTGTTGCTAACAAAGTGAATCAGTTTTGTTGAGTGCGTGCGCATTCTGGACTCTTGCAAATTCTCTCATCATAAACAACAAAGCGCAGATGTACATACAATGTAAGTAAGAGAATCGAGATTCATTTCACAGTGTATACAGCTTCAGTGGTTTATAACGATAGTTTTTTATTTTTTTAGAGTACTTAAACTCGCGATAGATTAAAGTTAGTGATAATGTCACTTTCTATATAATTTATACGCTATTTGAATAACCGTGGAAAGGAAACGTTATATAATTATCAAATTTCTAACGTTTTTATTAAATTGTAATCACGTTAAATACAAAAAATCAGTCCCATTAAACATTTTTTTTAGTCTACATGACACCCATGTCTGGTTCTTGCCTAAAAAGACGGGTTTATGATGTTTAATACATTTGGCTGCTTTTAGCCTTACCCTAGAGTTGGTTCACCCTCCGCCTATGCTCTGACTGGTGGAAGAAGTCTTAAGCAATTTCACTAATTGGAGCACCTGATTAATCCACCTCCGGATCCAGACTCCAGATCAATAAAGGGGTCGGTCCTTCTGTTGGAGTGTGTAGCTGTGACAGTGTTCATCACTGATTGATTAAAACTGTGGGAACGACCCCTCACGACCTCAGTGTGAGCCTTTCATCAGCAAACTCCATTGACTTTTTACAGAAACTAAAATTCTGGTTTAACATATCCAGTGAAAATGTTAAGATTTTTTAGCATTAGAAATGTTTTCTTCTGCTCAAAGAAAGAAATTCCAACTTCACATTAAAGGCACACTATCATTAAATACTATTAAAATTATATTAATATTTTTAATTAGGTTTTATTTATTTTTATTGATTTATTTTCAGGTTTCGGGTTTTTTTTTTGTAATCTTATGTGCTTTTGTCACACTTTTTTTTCTTTTTTGTCATTTTTTTTTTATGTACTAATATTTAGGTTTAATTATTTTTATTTCAGTGTTAGTTTGTTTTATTTCCAGTAATTTTAGAACTTCAACTTATTTCAGTAATTTGCCAAGACAACATTTCAAATTTTCATTTAGTTTAAATGTTTCGCCTAATATTTATAATTTAATATACTATTATAAATTTGATTAATATTTCAAATGTAATTAATATTTCAAATTTGATATTTCACATTTTTATATATTTTTTTATTTTCCTTTTAATTAAACTTTTTGTAATTTTGTGTTTTTGTCATTTTTTGTCATTACTTTTAAAATATATATATTACTAATTAGTTTTAATTTGTTTTGGTTTTATTTATTTCTAGTTAGTAATTTTAGTGCATCAATTTCAGTTAGTTGCTAGTGTATTTATATTTTATTTTATTTTATTTCAGCTTTATTTCAGTCAGTAAAATGTTTTTAATAGTTTCAGGTAACGATAATAACTTTGCACAGTTGTTCAAAGACTTTACAGCAAAGACACAAGATTGTAATATTTAATGTTTCTGTATGTTTAGTTTGTTCCTCATAAGGATGGCCATAACGTGATTCATCAATGTTCTTCTTGAATTACAGGTACGACTTTCAAAATAATTGAATCAGATTGTTCATATACAGTATTAAATTACCTTACGATAATATTGAGCTGTTTTAAATTTGTATAAGTAATGGCGATTATTTAAGCATTCCAGAA